CTTTCCCAAGAGTATTTGCGCGTAAGTCAATTTAACGAACCCGACTGGAATTGAAAGTCGGCGCTCTGATTAACAATTCCGAGCCATTATCCACTAAACCACCCGCACTTCCAAGCTTACAGTACCTGGTATTCTCAAGTGGTTACTCATTTAGGTATTGATCCGTCTCGATGTTGCTTAACAGGAATCGGTGTTTCAACGTAATGTGGCCGTAAGCCCATTTTCCCAGTGGGTAGACTTCTTAGCTTGAACATTATCATTTGACATGGTTTCTTTGCATTGGAATGCAAAATGACCACGTTACGTGGCTGTGATCCCCGGTTGCTCGTACCGGGCTAAAAAGTACCTGATACTTCTGACATGTTCTAAGTTTATAAGAGTCAGATCAGATCAAAAAACGGAGTAAAGCTGCCGTATCTGAGTTGGTACTGTCCAATCCTTACTTTGCAGCGTTGACCGAATTCAAAAACTTTGCGCTGCAGTTTGGTTGACGAATTATTTCCGCCTCTCTCTTACAGGCGAAAATTTGCTATCCTCTCGCTGCTCTATCGTTACTTTCATGGCAGATGTTCAGGCGAGCTACATTCGTTCGTTCCACCAGTCCAGACCTTCACATCTAGGAACCAATATATCGTGTACACAGGGTCGAATCTTCCTCATTCACTTCCTATTCCACTGGTAAGTAAGAAAACCACAAAACTGTTTTTTATGAAACAGACTCCCAAGAGGATGCTTCTCCAATAACTACAAGTCTCAGGTCAACCGTTATCTATTCTACGTATCCTCATAATATGCATCTATTACTCTCTCCTTTCTGTCTTGAAAATTATCTCATTTGTTAAAACTCTACCTTGAGTGGCTCTTGGAAAGGTGAACTATAGTATAAAATCATTTTTATCCAATACGTTGCAAATGAAACGTTAGATTAATTATTGAGTACACAGGACACAATTATATAATCATAAATTAAGTTTGGCCTCGAGAAGTCTAATTTCTTGAAAAAAATGTTTTAAGAAAAAGAGTTTATAAATTTCAATCTACAGTAACACTGGCTGCTCGGTCAATGAATGCCGAATGTTTCCCGTATGAAAACGGTTAATCTCATCATTACCATTACCATATCGTTAGAAAGCGTGGAATCCCGGGCTGTCAAGAACTTGCGAATAAGAGGTGTGCCATTTTCCAATATGGAGATTTTCAGACCTAAGCGACACCACAGTATTTGGAGATTTTCAATGGTGTCATCTCCTGAAACCGTTGATCCTGTTCATAACCTAATTTTGGCCGATTGACGAATTTTAGCCAAAATAATTTCTGGATATTATCCAAGGAACGCTTCATATTTATAATTCAAGAATATTTGGGTATGCAGGAGCTGTCAGTCAAGTGGGTGCCAAGATTTTTGGGTGCCGACCAAAAACGATATCAGTGAATATCTCCAGTGTTGATTTTGTAGCGTCTTCAATGATCTGGGGATCTATTTTTGAATTTCTTTTTTTTTTCTTTCTTTTTTTTTATTTTTGACTTATCTGCCACTGTTGATGAAACCGTTACAACACTATAATCCGGAGACCAAGCGATAGTGCATACAGTGGGAACACCCTGGATCTCCATGGATAAAGACGAGGTGGATTTGGGACGAGGTGAGTTTCAGAGGATAAGAAAGGATTGTTGATGGGTGACTATATTCAGAAGGATAAGGTGAGAGAAAAGCTTTTTAGTCGAGCATAAAATATTTTTCTGTGCCCACCTCATATCTACTCCTCTCTCTCTCTCTCTCTCTCTCTCTCTCTCTCTCTCTCTCTCTCTCTCTCAAATATAGAGTTAGTTAAGGTACATTTGCGTATATATCGCTGTCAGTCAAGTAGATGCGAAAATGTTTGAGCACCGACCAAGAAAAATAACAGCAAGTTGATTCTTTGGAATGACATGTCATTTTTGTTAAAACATTGTAATATATCCCAAAAAAAGGATATATTTGATCGAAGTAGCTAAGTGGGGTTGGCTACTGTAACCAAGTAGTACACGGTAGCAGTAATCGACCGGTACTCGTCGTAGTCGCAGGTAATAAGTGTAGACCAATAGGATAGCCAATGGCGTAGTCCAATGGGCGTCGTCATAGACTTAAACTCTGTCGTACCTACACATCCGTCTGTATTTATGACGGACACCAGCCAATCATACCTCAGTGAGGGGGAACTCAGGTGTATGCATATTCCATTATATCACATCGGTTAAAACACTGTGACCCGGAGACCAAACAACAGTCCGTGAATTTGGGAGCACTGGGCTTCTCCATGACTGAAGTAATTCAAAATTGCCATGGTTATTTTGGGAACGGAGAAGGGATTTTTTTCTAAAATACCCAAACGTTAATGTAGAATACTATTCTAAAATGTGCCGACTAAATGTGACATTGAAAGAAAAAAAAACGACGTGGGAAGCTACAAAAAGATATTCTATCAAATTGGTTCCCTCACCAAAGGATTTTTGTGAGGGAGGTGGCTAGATACCGGACAGGATTAAAAAAAAAAAAAAACTGTTAGTCGGACGGAAAATATTTCTGCATCCACTACATGTCAGCAAACCTATATAGTGATTTTCCAAATGCATCTCAGATGCGGCACAAGGCGCTAAGTAGGGGCACCCAGTGAGGATCGAACTCACTATTTAGTCATATAAAAAAAAAAATCGATTCTCCCGTCGGGTTCGACGTATGAGGGTCAAGCAGATCAGTTTCCAGAAAACTGGCAGCCCGACACCGGCACATGAGATTCGATTATAGTGGTGAAGGCTTCGTGCAAGACCATCCACACTTTTTGAATGGCCCAATACAGAGACCTGGTGCCCTACGTGCCACAAGGTCCCCAAACAATCCCCCTCAGGTTTTGAATTCAGAGTTGTCCTTCTCCTAAACCAGTTGCCACCCAAGGCTATAGAAACCAGTCTGTCCTGCTATTTAACCCATAGCTGGAGGGAGAAGTCATATATATATATATATATATATATATATATATATATATATTTATATTTCTAATGTAGATATTCGCGTTGGTTTGGCTTGGTTTGATTTGTTTTACAGTATATCAAACTCAATGACTTATTTAATGCCGACGAGATTTTTATTGCCGGTAATATTTTTTTTTCAAAAATTTATTGCTGGTAATATTTTTTTTACAAAAATGTATTGATATATTATTTTCTTCAAAAATTCATTGCTGGTAATAATTATTTTCCAAAAATGTATTGCTGGTATTAAACCTATTTCTACACTTTCGCAATGTTTTGGCCCCAGTTTGGGGGTTAACTATTTGCCCATAGCTGGGACCCTAACAGGTGCTACCACCCTGGGTCAGGATGTACCTGGGAACAACATCAATTAAGAACTAGTTCCACGCTCTTCAAAACCTCTCGATCAGTGGCCTTGCTGTTATATGTTCATTATCGTCTTAACCAGGACGGTATGCGACTTGGTTTTATGATTCAAGAACATTTGGATTTACAGATTCTGTCAGTAAAATGGATACCAAAATATGTGAATGCCGACCAAGAACGATATAAACTGGACACCAGCAAGAGGATTTGACGATCTAGTGATGTACTAGTGTATGGCTTGTACACTTGCATGCATACTGTCATACAGATGGTGAATAACAGCCAGCGATATCTTATTACACGTCTTTTGCACCTGTTGATGTAATACAGCAAGAATTGTAAGCGGGCCAAATAAACGTGTCAGGATCGTCCCATCATTACATTCTCAGTGATAGACAGATCTGGAGTTCATACCAGCCAAGCTAACAGCATTTCTTTTATAACTACCAAAAGCGAGTGGGAGTTGCAAGTTTTGGCACTGCACGACATGATGCCAAATGTAAGGTCTGTTCTCCGTAGGCGAATGCACTTTGGAAAATGACGGACTACACGTCTACTTCGTGCCCTGCAAATGCTCTCATCAATGAAAAGTAGAGAACACCACTCGAGAAAGACTGTCTCAAGAGGCCAAAGGAGAAGTGTATCACGGTGTTATAACCTGAGTAAATTTTGACAAGAAGCACATTTATCTATAGTCCTACTTCTTTTTAAACGTGGTACTCACCCATATCAGTTGAGCCAGATCCGTCAAACGAACCTGTTTCATCCCGAACAAAAGTTGACCAAGCGAAGTAGTGGTCGTATTCATTTGGATGTGCAAATTTATAGTAGGAATTTTACTAGGAATTTGGATTGACAAGCGGACCACAGCCGCATATATATACACTTTAGGGCGTTTCCTTGACAAGTCAGCCTAACGGATCCGAGTCCTTTCAGGCTGATTTGATTTCAGATTATCCTTCTCCTAGACTGGTTGCCACCCAAGGACCCTGTCTGTCCTGCTATTTTACCCATATCTGGCAGGAATAGATAATTCCCATGGGTATTAGCACGTAAGAGAATATAATGAACTCAAGTGGAATTCAAATTCGGTTCTCCGATTCCGCAATCCGAATCGCTTCACCATAACTCAAAAAAGAACTATTCACATTGGTTCGTGTAGACAACTCTGGGATTATTTATTTGCATGCCAAGGTCGTACAAAATGTGACAAAAGGTCAAGTTTAAAGTGGCATTTGGTAGCCATTCAAAAATTGGTCTGCCCCACTCAGCACTTCTTCTTTTGGTGCGCCATGTAATGACCCCAGCCCTCTAATAAAGGCGTGTTAATATCCAGGGGTATCTTCCCCTAAGATTCGTGACTAATAATCGTTTAATATCCCACTCAGCCAGGTTATTTGCTCTGATCTATGTAGACGTCGCACTGTTTGCTAGTGATCTAGGTAAATGTTTCTATGACTTATTTGCCCATAATTTGGTAAACGGGTGTAAGAATGTTTCATTTGACTAATGTTGTCAACTTTGAAACTCCATGGATGCCTCCCTTTCAATATACGCAGCAGAAAAACTGAGAGAATAATTGAGAATCTCGAAACGATTCTGATTGAACAAAAGGAACACGCGTCTTACGGCCATATCACGTTGAAAACCCAGTTCTCGTAGGATCACAGAAGTTAAGCAATATCGAGCCTGATCAGTACCTGGATGGGTGACCAGTTGAGCATACCAGTTGCTGTAAGCTTCGATGTGCAAGTGATATACTAGATAACGACTTGGATTTGGAAATCGGAGAGCCGAGTTCCAAATCCAATCGGGTTCGTTATATTCACTCACACTTGGAAAAGATATAAATCCGCCTTTTCTCCTCCCAATTATGAGTTAATTAGTAAGAACTTGTATCAGTAAATCTAAAATAAATTCTTACTATCTAAAAATATTTTCTGGTTTTACATAAACTGCAAAAAGTCGTTAAGCTATAAAAAATAAATAATCAATCAATCCTATTATAGCCTGTGTCACACAATAAATCTCAGACAGAGTGCACTGTTATGAGTGTTAAGACGTCACGAAGACTCCGAAAATCTTATCAGAATATGTATGTACTCAGATCATGGCGTTCTATACTACAGACCAGCTTATAGTGCAACTAAGGAATAGGACTGGAAGCTTATTTCAAAAGATGCTCGTTTCACTGAGCGCAGCTCATTTTTGTTTCTGTTTCAGTTTGCGGTGGTTTGTTGCTGTAGTCGTTTAGTTTACTATTTAAAAATAAAATAGAAGCAAATGTAATATTCAAAGAAATTTTTTGATTTTAGTTTTAGTATATTTAATTGGAATAAGTATAAGATCCATTTATTCACTTTTTTCCTTCAGACGTGTTATATTATTCCATATTTATTGCAAAAGAAAAACATTTTGTGCGAAATTCGATAAAAAATATTATTTACTAGACTTGGTCATGTCAATTCGAAGTTTTCGAACATTTTTCATTTAAAATTATTTAACATTTTTCATTTCTATTTAATATATTTCGCTATTAATTTTTTAAAATTTATTTAGCATTTTCCTTTTAGTTTAATATATTTCTCTACTAATTTTTTTAAAATTTATTTAACATTTTTCATTTCAGTTTAATATATATCTCTTTTAATTTTTTTTATTCATAAAAGCAAATACACTAACAATAAAGTCTATTTCTGGCGCAAATTATATTCCTCTTTCTAAAAAACAAAAAGTATGTTGACGTTTTTATCACATTTCATACACCATAATGTAACATTTTACACCGCAAAATTAAAGAAAAAATTGAAAGTTCGTATAATTCAGTATGCTCTAACTAAAAAAATGCCCGTCCTGGGTATGGCGCTAAACTACATCCACGTCCTGGATAAGACGATAAACTATATCCGACAGCAATGCCTCTGATCAGGAGGTTTTGAGGAGCGTGGAACCAACTCTTAATTGCTGGTGTTCCCAGAACACCCCTGACTCAGAATGGTAGCACTTGTTAGGGTCCCAGCTATGGGCAAATAGTTAACTCCCAAATTGTGGTCAAAACCCGACGAAAATGTAAAAATAGGTTTTAATACCGGCAATACGTTTTTGTAAAAAATTATTACCAGCAATGAATTTTTGGGAAAAAAATATTACCATCAATATATTTTTGAAAAAAAAAAATATTACCAGCAATACATTTTTGAAAAAAAATATTACCATCAATATATTTTTGAAAAACAAATATTACCAGCAGTAAAAATCTTGTCGGCATTAAAAACCTCATTGAGATTGATATGCTGTAAAACAAAGCAAATCAAAGCAAACCAAAGCAAACTAAAAAATGCTTAATTTTACTTAATTAAAGAAATAATTTATTAATCTGGGTTTTTTTGGGGGGTGGGGGTTCTTTGTTCTTCTGACAAAGGTTACAAAGTCGCTCGCATGAAAGATAATTTTAAAAATGTTAATTACTTACTTTTTAATAGAGACTCTTCTGAAAAATTTTCCTCCAATTCTGTTTTGGCGCTGCAATATTTTAATGATTTTATTTATTACATAAAGAATGAAATATTTTTTTAAAAATTACCTTTATATTGCAATTTATAACAACATATCTACTGATTATCAAATTTAATATTAGTAATATTAGTTAATAGTAATTTGCGTTTTTCTTTCTAAATGATATCAAAATTATTTTAGTTTATCATAAAAAAAAAATAAAATAGAAGCAAATGTAATTAAAACTTTTAATGCATAAACAAATCTAAATTAAACTTTTCTCTCCTAAAATTTGAAATTAAAACATATTGAAATAGGACTCCAGATCTTGACTTTAGTTGTCCTATGAGTAAGCCTGTAGTATAGAACGCCATGACTCAGATAAAAATTAGCCGTATCCTTCAGTGAGTTGCAATTTTATTTCTCTATATATCTCTCTCTCTCTCTCTCTCTCTCTCTCTCTCTCTCTCTATATATATATATATATATATATATATATATATATATATATATATATATATATATATATACATATACATATATATATATATATATATATATATATATATATATATATATATTTATATATGTACGTATGTATATATGTATGTATGTATGTATGTATGTATATACGATATTACCTCACTTATGACCAACCTACCCAGCAACGATCCTGCATTTTCTTGGTTTCTTCTTGTTCTTCGAAATACCAAAAGACAGAAAGAAAAATGTATTATGTTTATAATTAAATAACCGTGATGGAAGAGCTGGCTTTTGATTTTCTAGTTAACATCTGTGCCGGTAGGGGTCACTTGGGTCGTTCTCACGTAAGCTGGCTGAAGCCAGGAACAAACGCCATTGGCTCGCACTTCGGGAAAGTTCGCCGCTCCCCGCCTCCAATTGAATGTTGCCCCCGCGCCGGCCGATAACTGAACGGCATTGTTCCAATCTTACAAACAACGTTACTTTATAATGTCATTAGTTCGTTTTGCCAGCTTTCGCTTCTTTTTGCAGTCCGAATTTTAATGGCAACTCATAACGGTGTAAAGCTGCTAAATTCGATCGAAAGAAATGAGTGGGGAAATTCACTTTTGGTTTATTATTATGTTCTTTGTCTTGCATGAAGTCAGTTCTCTTTTTATCTGTTTATCTTTGTTTTTCAGCTCTCGTTATTCTCATATTACCCCCTTTCTTTTTCTTTATCTTCCTACTCACTCTCTTTCTTCTGCTCTCTAATCTGAATACATGAGTGTTTCGATACGCTTCAAGCGATTTCTTGCGTTTTTTTGACTTGATCGATCAGTTTATCATTTGCTTTGTCTTATTTAGTTATTTTGCTTTATCTATTTCTATCGAACTCCATTCATATCTATCTTATTTTATACAATTATGTATCTATTCCAACTATTCTCACGATCTCTTGGTTGCTCGTTATCTATCTATCTATCTATCTATCTATCTATCTATCTATCTATCTATCTATCTATCTATTACAATCTGTTCATATCGAAATATTGTGATCTGTTCTCATCTATCTATCTAGCTATCTATCTATCTATCTATCTATCTATCTATTACAATCTGTTCATATCGAAATATTGTGATCTGTTCTTATCTATCTATCTATCTATCTATCTATCTATCTATCTATCGCAATTTGTTCAAATACATACACACACATACATACATACATATATATGCCTATCTAGAGGCCTTATGTTACACCTATTTGACCACACCGATATTAGAACCCATTTAAGCACACACACAAACATACCAGACTCCATCTGAAACATACTAGTAGAAAATGCAAGAAAAGATGTAAAAAATAATGGAAGCCTTAATAATAAAAAAAAGAAAAACCCAACACTTAATAATATTAACTGCGAACACGGCCACAATGTGTTGTGTTCGGAAAATAAAACATCTCTCTAACTCTAAAACTATACACAGAACGCAAACACCCAATTATATTGAAAAAAATAAAATCATCCTTGATAATAACTAAAAGTATAGCCGAAAGCCCTCAGAATTATAGAACATTTGGACAGTTTTTACATACTCCGTGTCCAGAAAAGAAAATACTTATTCGAACAGAAAAAGAATTAAATAAAAAGCTTAGTAGTAAATCGTAGTACCTTGTCTGGTGTTTTTAATGAAACATGCATATATATATATATATATATAACACGCTACATAAGAGTTCTCATGTTTCAAAACAAAAGCCGAAAACTTCAATATAATTATTTAAATTAAATTGAATTAAAGTACTAAGCTCTGTTCCATCTTCAAGCGAATTTTTTTTTTTTTTTTAATAACTTATTTCTAAAATTTACGCGTTTTATAAGCATATTCATTTTTGAAATCGAAATTACTATGGTAACGGCTAGAGCAATTGTTTAAAGAAAAGGGGCGTAAGGTGTTAATATTTGGTATCAATATCTCAGTTACATTTACAGATGTCAAGTCAGGGTGAGGTTGGGGTGTCTAAATTTAAAGCGAAAGACGACATCGTCTAGTCTGGTTTAAGTGTCTATGGAGATTTATTTATTTTTTATTTTATTTTTTTATTTTTTTCTGAAAGGGTTTTGTGTATATAAAAACTGTCGTAAGTCGCTAATATTTGTTTTTTGACGACTTCATAACGGGTTATCTTTTTTTAGAGCATTTGAGCTATATGCAATTTTCGTTGAAAACGACTTGACAAAGTGCTGTAGTTGAGGTTTTATATATATATATATATATATATATATATATAATTTCTCATGTCTTTGTACAATTTTCCTTTTTTAGGTCATAAATTATGTAAAAATTGTCCGAACGTTTTCCAATCGCTTTCGGTTATACTTTTAGCCATTATCAAGGTTGAATTTTTTTTTTTTTTTTTGACTGAATAAAGAAATATAAAAATCCAGTTGATAAAAATAACAAAATCAAATAAATTATTTATTATAAAAAATTAAAACCGCTAACCTCATCGTCAAAAATAATAATTTGCCTGCAAGATTCAAATTACAGAGACCCAATACTATTTACGAATTTACATGTCCCTTAAAGAGCTGTGTTCCTAACAATCCAAATTTGTAAAAGATTATAATGAATATACTATATGTTTTACAAGATTAACGTTACATCTCTCTGGCCATAGCTCAGTTACGTCTCATTTAAATACACATGTAGACCTACCAAACTCTATCCGTAACATACTTGTTCATAATATAAATAAAATAGTATCATCCACATG